AAGTTGTTTTAGCATAATTCTGGGTATGGATGATAGAAGCCCCATCCTGGGTGTGGTGGCACCAATAAAGGGGCTGATAGCCTGCATGGAATAAAGGGATAGAAAGAAGACAGGCTTTTGCTGCTGCTGCTGCTGCTGCTGCTGCCGCCGCCACTGCCGCCTCCTGCTTGCTGCCTCCTGCTTGCTGCCTCCTGCTTGCCATGCCATGAACTGTTTCTCCTCTGCAATTACCCTGTGCCATGCCACCCTGCCTTGGAGCCAGCCAACTATGGACCGAAACCTCTACAAACTGAGAGCTGCAATAACCCTTTCACCCTTTAACTTGTGGGCATCAGGTATTTTGTCTCAGCAATGAGAAAAGTAACTAAGATGGATGAGTTAAGGTTTTGTCACCTATATGAAAGGCAGAGCTTGGGAGATATATGGGCAGAGTCCTCATCAATGCTAAGTACTAGAAATTAACCTTTAAAAATGACTGTGCTGCCCTTTGGGAAATTTTCATTGTCTCATAGCCTTTGCATATGAAATGTAAAGTGACCCGTCTTAGGTGATTGGCCTACTGCACTTGGTAGGAGAAAGCGGTATGTCCACTTTGGAAAAGACCAGACCGCTGGGAAGTGGGGACTAAATGTGCACCGCTCACCTTCACATCTCTCACTCACCTGGGTGCGTCCCTGATGCAGGTGCCCCAAATCTGACAGGCTGAGCTGGTGCACATGGGGTTTGCCCTACATTCCCAAAAGGGCCAAGCAGGTGGTATGAGCGAGTGGAGAGAAACAGGGCTGCTGCCAGACCACTGGGGAAAATGCGCAGTAAATACCCAGTTCTCCCCACATAACCCCAGTCAGCTGGGTCCTGGGAGCATGGGCTGGGAAGTGGCTTCCACACTGAGACCTGTGTGATGGGTGGGGTGAGGTCAACACATGCACAGCGGTGACACAAGAAGCATCGACAGAGAAGCCTGCGGGACAGTGGCCAGGGTGGCACCTGGAACACCCAGTGCCAGGCACCAGCTGCGTGGGCCGTATTTGCTGCATTAAAGGGTCTGGGTTGGGTTGGAGGCTGTCCATGTGGGAAGTTACCAAGCAGATGCTGGGGTGATCTGGAGCATTTTTCCAGAGATGAGCCCCAGCTGAGGGACAGGAAGAGGACAGCAAGGCACTGAACATTCTGGAAAGAACCTGGCATCTCTTTGAGGGGCTGAGGAGTCCGAGCTGGCTGATTTCATTCTGTCGCAGTGGGAGGCCAAGGGGTGTTGCAGGACAGAAGCGACCTCAAGTGACACTACTAAAGAGGCCGTCTGCTGTGCTGGGCTTCTGTTCCACCCTGTGGGAATTGTGGTGCCTCAGGGTACACACCTGTCTAAAAGAGCCCTTCCTGGTTGCTTCTGACACACAGAAGGCAGCAACCTCACAGCACACCAGCTCTGTGACCTTGGATAACTTACTTTACCTTTCTGTGCCCGTCTCTGCTTTTGGCAGAATGGGGGTGAACAATGGTACCTGCTTGACAGGACAGTGAGTTTCCAGTTCAGTGAGATGATATACATGAAGTGTATCAAGCAGGACCTGGCAAGTTGAAACTGTTCGAAAGATTTTATTCTGTGGATGATGTAACACCAACTGGTATTTATGTGTTACTTAAAAAAAGAAAAGAAAAACTTGAATGTGGTATGCAAGCTTTTAAAGGACCTTGACTTCCCAACATAGAAATGTACCATAAAGAAACTTGGACCTGAAAAGAAGCGGTAGAAGGAAGCATCTGTCAAGGTTTGAAATCACAATGTTATTCTTACTCTTATTATCATAAACTGGAGGAATCGTGGTATACAAAAGAGCCATCTTTGAGTGCCTTTCGCTTATGCTCTTAATTACATTTCATCTTTTTTCTGGAGTTCTAGTTTTTGCTGCCCTTTTCTGTTGTCCCTCCAGGGCCTGGTGGCCACAAAGAGCCACCTGAATGTTTCCTTCACAGCAGAGATCTGTGTGTGTCCACTGTGGTGAAGGAAATGGACTGAATCACTGGCCCAGTGGTATTGAAATTCCCACACCTTAAGTTATGGTTTATGTATAGATGTCCCCAAAGCCTTGTGCAGTCATAGCTGGGGCTCTGGGGAAATGATTGGATTATGGGGGCAGAGGTGCTCAGCAGTGGATTTGTTCACTGATGGGTTCACAGCTAAATGTGATTTGGGGGTGAAGCCTGGCAGGAGGAGGTCGTTGCTGGGGCGTGGCCTGGGTCAGCCCCCCGCTTGATCCCCACTGCTTCCTGCCACCATGCTATAGACTCTTCCTCCTCTTCGATGCCCCTCTGCCATGACACCCTGCCTTGGAACCAGCCAACTATGGACTGAAACCTCCACAGACTGTGAACTGAAACCAGCTTCTCCCTCTTCCACCTGTGGGTGTGAGGTCTTGTGTCTCCGTAATAAGAAAGTAACTAAGCCAGTATTGAAGAGAAAAAAGAAAATTTGACAGTTTTTGCGTTAACAATTTTGTGTTGTATTTAGTGCCTACCTTCTTCCATTTTCTACCCTCCAAAAGAAAGAAGGAAAGTAAAACAAGATACGCTTGAACCTTCAGGAAAATATCTTGAATCATAAGCTAAGAATCTCTGTCACCCAGTGCTGGTCACCCCTGGCCCAGCTTCAAATGTGGACACACCAGTGCCACTCCAGCCAAGCAGGCCGAGGCAGAAGGAATGAAGATAAACTACCCAGTGGCCAGGGGCACCTTCCACTTGTACTTTCTTTCGTTTTGGGATCAGCTTGGAATAATCTGTGTTCCGTTTTGGTTTTAGACTTGAACGCCCATTTCTTTACTTCTGGATGTCTGTGTCTGATGTTAGCTGTGAAAAGAGCCTCACCTCGTTCATTCTCCTGTCTTAATCTTCTTTCTCAGTTCAGGTCAGTGGGTAAAAAAATAGACAAAAAAAAAGACAAAAGTATATGTCATCCACCAAGTGAGCCATTAACAGTTGTAAACACCCTTTATCGTAAACATCGCGCAGATTGAGCTGTGAGTATTTAAAACCCCAAGCCTCACTTCCTCTGAGCCCAGTGGAGAGGGGATAGATAGCCTTGTTCCTAGATGGCAGCCAGTGAGTGAATTCCTTCCTTCCGAGTGAAAAATGAGATTCCTGGATTCACAGGGCTGGAGGATGGGTTTAGACTGCTCAGCAGATTCAAAACAAACAAATCTGGAGATTCACAAGTACAGCTCCTGAGGAGGCCACGTGACAGTGAGGTTAGAAGGTGGAGTACGTGGCCCTGGTGTACATCCCAGAAATCTGCGGACACACCCGGGCCAGTGAAATAAGTCTCTTGGAGTAGGGTGGCGCACCTGCTGCCCAGCAGAGTTAGGAAGAGAAGCAGAGGCTGGGGTTGGGGACTTGGAAGAGCCATCGGCGTGTTAGCTGGGAGCTATCACCGGTCACACTGGGCAGGCTGGGTGTCTGGAGCAGACTCAATTTAATCCTTTACTGTGACTCAGTAACAAGTACACAATGCAGAGGTCTCTGCTAGCTGGAGATGCACTGACAGATGGAATCTGGTGGTCCTTGTCCCCTCCGTGACCTTAGATTAAAGTCACCCTCCACATTAGCAGGACACACACACAGGCCAAGGAAGGGGCTGCATGGCCTGCACAGCTGTGTGGGAAGTGGGGTGCTTGCCCCCACCCCCCAAGGATTAGACTCAGAGACCAGTGAAGCAAGTCAGCTTTTGCAGAACAAGAGGGTGTGCAACGGAGTAAGAGGAGGAAGCTCATGTTCCAGAGGAAGGGGACACAGAAATGCACAAGAGCCCGTTGCTCTTTGGTCAGGGGAATGTGGGCAGTGGAAAAATTCCTGGGGTGTGCTGCGGTGGCTCAGCATCCAGACTCTGGGTGGATGTCTTTAAACATGCCTTCTCTTCTGTTGCTTTGCTGCCTGAGACGTGAGTGCATACGTTGATCCCAAGAATCCTCAAGGTAACCTGGAGAGCTATTCCCGCACTCAGAAGAAGATGCAGAGCCTTGCTGGAGCTAAAGTAACTGGCCCAAGATCACTCAGCCAATAACAGGCAGAAGCAGAACTCCAGTTCCGGGATCCAGCTCCAGATCCAGGAACCGGCACTGTGCAGGAGCATGCTGGCTCTGCGTGGACCTGAACACTGCCAGGATCCTGCCCATGGCGTGCGATGCTCCACGTCTTTGAAGTCGCCTGTCTCTTACTTCCTCTTGTTTCTGCTTATCTTTGGCATTTAGACCCTCAAAAATGGATGTAGAGTTCGAGTTGTTTTTTAATCTATATTAAAAGAAATTTGAAGCTTCAGCTTTGTACCTGATGATGTCCATGTCATTGGCACTTATGATTCGTATTCTCCCCTCCCGTTCATCCCCAGAGCCCAGGAAAGAGCTTTCCGATGCTCAGGAAGCTTCCAGGGCTGAGGCTGGGTTCCACCACAGCCGGAATCTTTATGTTCAGTGAGAAGTGCAACTGCTTAAAACTCTTCACTCCTCTCTCACTTTAGAAAGTCAGGCAGGGAAAAATGGATTAATTTGACAGATGACACTGAATAAGAAAAATATTAGACACAAGAAAAGGCCATTTTCCCCATAGAGGCTCATTTCATTCTCTGTACCACTTCCCTGGGATATCTGCCAATTGTTAGCAGGAAGAGTAATGTTATCCATTTTTTAAAATTTCACTCTGGAGTATTATGGAGATAAATAGCTAAGTGATGGAGAAATAACTTTCTTTCACAGTGGTAGTTTAAGAGGGGTGAAGAGAGCTCAGATGCAGATAACATTTAGTGACATGAGGGAAGCTGGCCTGGATGAGGGTCTGGTGCTGCTATGGGCGCAGTGTTTGGAAGAGCGCCTCTCTGCCCGGCCCAGAGCGTGTCCGTCTCCACCAGCGAGGCCTGCATGTGGGTGCTGCCAGATCTCTTTGCAAGCCGGGAGCGCCTCCTGCTGAAAAGCTAACAGAGAAAGCCAAGTATATCTTCTCTTTTGCTGCAGGGCCGATGCAGGAGACCATCTCTGACTTCTGGAGGATGGTGTGGCACGAAAACACGGCGAGCATTATCATGGTGACCAACCTGGTGGAGGTGGGAAGGGTAAGATGCCCCGCCCGATGCACACAGCCCTGTCCCCTGCCTAGTTGGTAACAGGAAGTGAGGCCGGAGCTCCGCCCCTGAAGGGTGGTGTGTGCTGTGCAGCGCTGGAACTGCTCCAGCTCCTTCCACCCCTTGCTGCACTTGCTTATAAATTAGCAAGAAACATGGCCCAGGTGCTTTCATTTGTTGCGATAGTGACAGGAAAAACACTCAGGATGAAAAGCCCTTGTTATCTGGCTATATTGAGTACCCAGAAATACTTCTAAGCCCGAGTGCCAGAGCTCGAATGGGCACCACGTTCGCCCTGACTGTCCCCACCTCGGGAAAATGGGCTCCGACTGCAGCGTGCAGCACGGGCGTCCTTGCCTAGATTAGGGCGCCGGCATCTGCTCTTCTGGGCCCTGTGTGCACCTGTGAGGCAGAAGCGGGAAGCTGCACAGAACCTCACAGGGCTCTCTGGGAGCTGTGGAGCACTCTTTGTGTTAATGAGTGGTGGTCGTCCCAGCAGAGGTGAAGAGAGGGTTATCCAAAGACAGTGCCAAAGAGAGGTGCTATGGGGTTATCCAAAAGGAGGAAATCCTGCCTTCACAGCAGGTTCCAGCCCTTGGTTACCCAGGAGGAAAAAGCCCTTGCAGTACTTCTTAGGCGAGTCTGTGGGGTGAGATTCACCCTCGGTACCCGCAGCCTACAGTTAGCCTGGAATCATAGTACTGAGGCAGGAACCAGAAAGGGCTTGTCTCTGAACAGCCTCAGGAGGGGTCGGGAGGTACAAACCAAGGAAAAAGGAGATGGATTCCTGCTTTTCTATGAAGCTGCTAAGGAGCTGCAATAGACTTAAAATTCCAGCAAAGACAACCCTCCTGGAGATATCTAGAAATTCTATATCCAAGTAGAAACACGTATTTTAATGTGTTTGTGTAGATGGTGTGTATGTGTGAGTGATTAAAAGGCACAGCTTAGGCCTGAAGAACTCGGCTCCCAGACCTGTGTTCAGGTGCGGGGTCAGAGCAGGTGGGAACTGTGTCCTGCCCAGGCAGCCTCCTTCAGCCCGACGTTGGGTGCCGGACAGAAAGCCCACTGAGAACAGAAAATAATGTCTGGGACCTGTGTGGTACTGACAAAAAACCAAAACCCGCAAAGGTAGGCAGTGAAACGCCTAAGAGAAGAGTAAGGGCTGCAAACCATACGGCGTCTGAACAGCCGCCCTCTGTGTCTGTGGGAGTCACATCCATGAAGTCAACCATGGATTGAACATATTGGGGGAAATGGAGTCTACGGGGACACTGAGGCAGGAGGATGGCAGATCTGAGCCCAGCCTGGTAAGTTAGCAAAATACAACATTTTAAAAGGGCTGGAAAGTAGCTGAGTGTGAATGACCATCGTCAGTCCCCAGGGCCGAAATCGGACCAGCACTGAGCGCGGACAGACTTCTCTTTCGCTCCTTTTTGTCATTACTCCCTAAACAGCACACGACAACTGTTACACTGGGTCAGGTACTGGATGACTTCGAGTCCACAGGAGGCTGTGCCGAGGTGGTGAGCGAATGCAGTACAGCACTAGTTATGCAGAGGCCCTCAGAGCTGTGGCTCCCAGTGCCCACAGCAGGTGCCACAAAGGAGGAAGACCAAGCGCCTGACTGAGGGAAGCAGAAGAATAGAGTAAAACCTAGGAAAGGAGGAGGGACACAGTCAGTAGAGCAGAAATGTATTAAAAAGATCGACAAACTGTAAACCTGGAAAAGCTAACGAAATACACAAACCTCTGGTAACAGCAGAAATGAGAGGAAGGAAACCACATATAACCAGTATTAGAAAGAGGATAGTTTTTAATCATGATACAGGAATATGAGTAACAATGAATTTAATAAAGGTTTTCTAGGAAAATGCAATTTTCTTTCCAAAAGAAACAAATTCTGACTAAACATTAGTTTAATCATTTCAAAATTGAAATATAGTTAAAAGTTGACCCATGGTTATATTTATAGTTGGTAAATAGTAAAGGGATAAATCATTCAAATTTTATAAATGTTACAGGCACATGGAATCTCATAAATTTTGTAAATATGTGAAAGTATGCATATATTATATACATTTTATAAAAATTATTTAAGAGGACAGAAAAAGAGCACTACTTTTATAAGTCCAGGACAAGTCTGAAATCAGTATCAAAGACTATAATAAAAAAGAAAATTTGAGCTAAGGATAGTGACTCACGCCTATAATCCCACCAGGTGGAAGGCTGAGGCAGGAGGGCTGCTGCAAGTTCAAGGCCAGCCTGAACTGTATAGCAAGACCCTGTCCTAAAACAGCAATAAAAAGAAAAGGGAAAATTATAAGTGCTACAAATTGATGGGAAGAGATAAATGGTCTCGTGGATCAAAGCAGAGTACCCAATGTGGACTGGAGGCAGCAGTGGAAAAACCATAATTCATGGGGAACGTGTGAGGTTTACAATAAAATGAGCTAGGTCATTTGTTAACAGATACACAAACGGGTCCCTCTTTGTAAAACACTCAAAAATGAGTAGCAGATAAAGACAGAAATTCATCAATAAAGCTTTAAAACTTACCGGAAAAAAATACATGCGAAAATATTTCAGACACAAAAGGGATGTTTTGAAGATGCCAAAAGCCCAATACATTAAGCAAAAGATTGGAGGCTTTTGTGTTTCCACGTGAAATTTTCCATAGTGGAAGGCTGACAAAGCAGATTATAATGGTGCTTTATATAAGGTGTAAAAACTTACAAAGCAACATTTTATGGGCTGAAACTATCAGAGCCACTTCTGTCTTCCCATTTCTTGCCTCCTGGGAGCCGGTGGGGCCCAGTGTGGCAGGGTGCCTGCCAGGTGCCCAGCCTGGAAGGGGTGTCTCGTGCCAGGTGTGCACCAGCTGGGGCTGCCATCACGAGATGTGCAGGCAGAGGCCTCAACCACAGGTGCAGAGGAGCCTGCAGAGCCAGGTCAAGGTCTGGTATGGTTCGGGGCCTGGTGTGGGCTCGCTTCTTGCCCTCCATGTGGTCCTTCCTTCCTGTTACCTCACAGGTGGCCTGGCGGGGAGAGGGAGGCACTCTCTGGGTCAGGGCCCCTTTCCTCTGGCCTCATTTACCCCTCATCACCTCCTTAGAGCTCCTATCTCCTTCCTGGCTTTAATCCTTCAACATTTGAATCTGGGGGTGCACAAATACTCAGCCCATAACCTGCTCCACGGGGTTCTTGTAAAGATGAAATGGGTTTCTGTGTGTTGGGTGGTTAAAGAATGCCTGCCATTATGAGGAGATACAGGGACAGATTTAACCTTTGCGTCTCCGCTAACAAGCCCAAGACCTGCAGTGATGTACGCCGTTATCCTCTCCCTCGAGATAATGCGCTTCCTTCTGCTGGACAGCAGGGAGGACTCTGGGGAGGCAGGGGTCCACTCAGCCAGCGTGCACTCCTCTGGGGCAGAGATGGCCTCTCCCTGGCCCCCTCCCCACTGGGCCGGGTGTGCGGGGAGCCCACAGAACCCAGCAGGAGACCACTTTCACTGCAGGGCCACCGCTGCCAGGTGTGGGGCTCACTGCCTCATAGCTGCTAAGCGGTTCCCCTTCCCTCATGCACTGTGTGCCTTCCCCTGAAATGGGCCTCAATTCCGAATTTCCCACCCATTGGCACAGTGGGGCCCCGCGCCCGATGGGGGGCTTCCAGAGTCGGTATGCACGATGCCTTTGGACTTCCATGGAAACCCTTTCCCAGACCTCACTCCTCACCTCCGGCTTTACATATCTGCACCAGACCTCACTTTCCAGATCATCCCAGGGTAAACTGAATGAGCAGAAAATTATTAAAATAATAACTACTGAATATTTTGAAATGACATACATTAATTTTTTGCTTCATTGAAATTCCAAACTATGCTATATCCAGACTCAGAAACCGAAGAAGTTATTTTTATATGAGAAGTCATTTTACTTTAAGGAAAGGTAGAGACAGCAGTCTTCAGTTGAAAGGTCGAAAGAAGATTGTGCTGTAAAATTAGCTCAGTAAAAAGTAATAATAATAATAACAGACGAAAGCCCGCTGTCCGCTGGTCATGGCAGTTTTGCAGAGCACTGGGTTTCTTCTGGAGAAATAACTCGGTCAGCAGTGGTCACAGCGACCCACGAGGCACCTGGCTGCGTCTCTGCCAGCTTCGGGTGATGGAGTCTCCGCCCACAGCTCACCCTGCAGACCCCACCACAGGGAGAACCTAAAAGGCAGGAGAGTAACCAGGCTCCGGTTAACCCTTTGTTATAAACCTTTAATCACTCAATAACCTTGGGCCTGGTGGACTGACTCTTTTTTCAACCCTTGCAAATTCTTCAGGTAAGGGGGCTGTGGATACGCTCTCAAGCCCCCCCAACCCCCTACACCCCCTTCCCAACTTCAGACAGGTGTGGCTGGAATTGGCAGTGACACTAGCTGCATCATCAATCCTGGAAACATCTGGTGTGGCCTGGGGGCATGGACAAGAGGTCGGATCCCCTCTGGGAAGAGGCATCACCTATTCCAGGCCATTGGCCATTGTTAATCCTGCACATTCGTTCAGGGACAGCCTTGCTGTTTTCTCCACTTCAGAACAACAACAACAAACCACCCAAGAAATCAAGATGATGCGCTGCTTCCTCAACATGTGACCCGCTTGTGCTGTGTCTGTGTCCTTCATGAATCAGGCATGAGCCAGGCAGGGGTGCTTGTTGACACAGCCCTGCTGCCGACTCATTAAGGCCAAGCTGGGCGCTGCCTCCCCCTGCCCTGGAGCACTCTGCATTAGGTGGCTTTAATTGTCTGTGTTGGAGCCACTGGGAGGCCTTCTCTGTCGCAACACCTGGTGCAGAAGACAGGGACACCGCCCTCCCCTCCAGCAGAGTATCTGGTACTGCTGCCAGGAGCTGTCATTCTCGGAGCCTTCCTGTGGCTTCTCTGCATCCCCTTCCAGCCCGCGTGTGGTGGGAAGGGACCTTTGTCAGGTCCCCAGCACCTGC